GCCAAGGCTTAATGAACAGCCCGCACTGACTGATGTAGCTGTTATTGATCTATTGGCAAGTTTTACTTTGTTGATTGCACTTGAGGTTTGGAGCAGACAACATATTGATCAAAGCCCATGTATAACAGAGACTTCCAGACAACTTAGCTGGTCAATACATCTTCCTACTTGTCCACTTATTGGTAGTAAATGCCCCGGGGGAGGGAAACAGGAGGACTGAATGAGAGGAGAGAGGTAAAGGGAAGGGAGAAAAGTTTGGGGGGTGCGGAAGAGGGGGATGGGAGGGAGGCAGGTGGAGGACAGAGGGAGGGGGGTGGAAGAAGGGAGGGATTAGGAGAGGCAGAGAATGAAGGGACAGAGGGAAGGCAGACAGAGAGAGGGTCAGGAAGAGCCAGAGAAGTGGTGAACGGGTCAAAGATGTACAGATTAGGTGGACTGGCCATGCTAAATTGCCCATTGTATCCAGAGATGTGCAGGCTAGGTGGGTTAGCCATGTTAAATGCAGGGTTACAGGGATAGGGTAGGGGGGTAGGGGAGTGGGTCTGAGTGGAATGCTCTTCAGAGGGTCAATGTGGACCCAATGGGCCAAATGGCCTGCTTCCACACTGTAGGGAGTCTATGATTCTACGATGGGGGACAGAGAGCGAGACTGGAAGAGAGCAGGAAGGAAAAACACTGAGGGAGAGAGGGAAGGTAAAGAGAGAGGGAAGGTAAGATGGGAGGGGGTAGAGGGAGAGTGATGGATGGAGAAGGAGTGGGAGAAAGAGAGGGATGGGGAAACAGAGAGTGATGGGTGAAAGGGTGAGACTGGGGAAGAGATGGAAAGGGAAAGATACGATGGAGCAGTAGAAGAGAAGGAGGAAGAGGAGAAAGGCAGAGAGGGAGAGAAGAGAGAGGGCAAGAGAGGAAGAGAAACAGAGAGGGAGAAAGGAACAGAAGAGAGAAAACAACAAGATTAGGAGGTAGAGAAATGAGAGTGGAAGAGAGAAAAGAGACAGAAGGAATGACAGCGGGAGATGGAGAAGTATGAGAGAGAGTTAGACAGAGGGAGACAGAAAGAAAAAAAGAGAGAGAGAGAGTAAGGGGAGAGACAGAGAAAAAGAGGGATGTGGAGGCTTGGTAATTTTAGCAACTAATTTCTCGTGTTCTTGTTGCTTTGAAAGAAGTGAGTGATAGTGCTTTCAAACAAGGGAGAGGAATGAATACACTGAAAAGAGAGAGCGAGAGAGAGGGGGCGGGAGAGAGAGAGACAGAGACAGAGACAAAGCTGGATGTATCAGTGCAGATCCGTCAGGACATATAGGCTCCTCAACAGCAGTCAGAAGAATTCCCACTTGCCAAATGTTTGGCAACATCTATCTTACTGATCACTTACGTATTTCTAATACTTTTCTTGTTGAAACACGACTTAGGAATTTCACTCTGAGTTCTCTGACTGAGAGCAGCTCTGACCCACAGGACCGCAACCTCCATCAGGGGTAGGGCAATATAGCAGGTCCCCAGTGCACCCCAGCCAGAACGGGGATTGAATCCTCTGCTGTTGGCACCAATCTGATTCACACTAGCTAACTAAAACAACCAGTCTCCTAAGGATGGGCACAGAGAGCTGTTAGGGGTCAGGTGTGTCTAAGTCGGCCAGAGGAGTGGGCCAAAGTCATTCTCGGGGTCAGTGCAATGAAAGTCAAGTGGTTGGGGGGGTTGGTTTCCAGGTTGTAGTAGTGAAGCTGGGGGACTCAATGCTGGGAATTGGAAGCAGCAACAAGGGTGCAGGCAGAACAAGAATGGTGAAGGGGGCAAGTTGGGTTTAGAACATAGATCAAAACAGTACAGGAATGGGTCCTTCAGCCCACAATGTTGTGCCGAATATGATGCCAAATTATACTAATCCATTCTGCCTGCCCATGATCCATATCTCTTCATTCCTTGTTTATTCATGTGCTTATTTAGAAGTCCCTTAAATGCCCCTATTGTACCTGCCTCCACCACTGCCCCTGGCAGTACGTTCCAGGCACCTACCACACTCTATGTAAAAAAACTTGCCCCTCACATCTCCTTTGAACTTTCCGCCTCTCACCTTAAATACATGCCCTCTAGGATTAAACATTTCAACTCTAGGAAAAAGTTTCTGACTGTCAAGCCTATGTATGCCTCTCATCATTTTATAAACTCCTACTAGGTATTACATAAGGTGTTGCGGGATGGGAAAATTGTAGTACACGGTAGAACATAGGAAGCTATGGGAGTAGGAGTTATTGGCACTCACCACCACAGTGGCCTGTTTGGGAACGGACTCAAGAGGGTTGGGTTAGGTTAAGAGTTACATTTGTCACTCTGGGTGGTGGGTGGGGGATGAGTAGTAATAAGGTGTCCGGGGATTGCTGGGCAAAAATGGACATAGGGAGGTCTTCATTACCAAGCTGAGAATGTGTCACATGGAGCTAAGTGCAACCTCATTTTCTCTCGACTCCTAAAAGCACATGCAGATTGAAAATAGCTATGAGCACACCTGGAGCGGGCAGACTCAGTGTTTGTTTTCCTATCCCAACACGCAAGCTTCATTTCTGAGTGACGGGAATCCATTCAGGGAGCAATCACATCAGTCAGACACTTGCAGAGTACAGGATGAAGTCCTCTGTAATCATAGCATGCGAAACACAGTCAGTTTCCAACTGGGTGGGATATGCTGGTCACAAGTCATCTCGACCACGTCACTACAGATTGAAGATAGTCACCTCTGTGAAAGTGACCTTATAAGTGGGCCACAAAGCATAAAGCTAATGTGAGATACCATAGTCAGCACAGGGGCATCGAACTGATTCCTCTCACCTTCTGCAATGTGGTCCTACATGCAATGCTGCATTTCATGATGAAATGGGGCTAGGAGGAGAAGGTGTCAATACTCACGCAGCACTTAAATTTCTCTGGCTGCCTCTTGTGATATGATACATTCGTTGGAATAAGGTGGACAGTTGAAATACTGTGTAGGTACATTCGAAGACCCTCCTCGTCCAAGTACTCCATGTCCCACTGTGTAGAGGACTCTGCAAAACCATCATCGATGTGTGATGTGAATTCTGACTGCTCACATTATTCAGAACCTATTCTGTTTTCATAGGAAGAATGAGAGACGGATCGGGCTGCAGTAGGGGTTATTGTTGCTGTTGCTGGGGTGTAATGAAGATGCAGAGCCCCAGAGGAAGAACAGATACACCAGCAAGTCCAGGACCAGCAGCAAACCTCCACCAGATGTTGAAAATCTTCCACATGAAGGGTTGCTGCTGAAGGTGCCCTCATGAAACTCAGGATGACCAGGGCCACACTGTTCTTGGAACGAGGTACATAAACAGCTACAAGAGGGAGATCCTTCTAGCCCACAGCATCCTGATCCAGTGAGTCCAGGTAGCCATTGTCACTAACAGGATGAATTGCGTGAGCTGTGATTTGATGGCAACCATAAAGCAATACACAATGATACTTAAGGAGCTGCTGCGTGCACCTGCCTAGTCAACAACAACTTCCATTTATGGAAACATGGAAAATACAAGCAGGAATGACCATTTGGTCCTTCAGTCTTGCTCCACCATTCAATATGATCATGGCTGATCATCCAACTCAGTAGCCTGTTCCCACTTTCTTCTCACACCCATTAGCCCTAAGAACTATATCTACCTCCTTCTTGAAAACATTCAATGTTTTGGCCTCGACCACTCTTCGTAGCAGAGGATTCCACAGGCTTATCACCACACTCTGGGTGCAAAATCTCAATCCTAAATGGTCTACCCACTATTCTTGGATTGTGACACTTGGTTCTGGACTTTTCCGGTCATCAGGAACATCTTTCTTATGTTTATCCTGTCCGGTCCTATTAGAATTTTATAGGTCTCTATGTGATCCCTCTCATACTTCTGAATGCCCAGTGAATATAGTCCTAACTGATCTGATGTCCCTTTGTACATTAGCCCTGCCATCCCAGGAATCAGTCTGGTAAATCTTGTTGCACTTCCTCCATCGCCAGAACATCCTTACTCAGATAAGAAGAACAAAGCTGCACACAATATTCCAGGTGAGGTCTCACTGAGAGCCTGTACTTATGTCTTCTCACTATGAAGGTCAACATAATGCATAATTATTGCTGTAAAGCATTGTAAGGTGTTGCCATAGAGCATTATCAGACAAACATGTGAAACCGAGCCAAGTAAATGCTTGTAAAAGACGTACGTTTTAAAAAGGTGGATATTGGAGCCTGGAGGTTGGAGAGGGTGGAAGCAAAGATCTTGAAACTCAAAAGGCAGCCAAAATGCACTTGTGAACAGGAACAGGAAACTCAGGTGATACTGACATGATGACAATAAAGATAGAGCTATCGGCCACGTCTGGTGGTTTGTGCCGTTTGATACATCTGAACATTTCCCATCTTCTGCAAGGAATTATCATCTCTATATTTGTAAATCAATATATCTTAGGTCTGCATGTACTTTGGTTGTATAATACCTCATGCTCTGCTTTCAGGTTCTGACACAATTTTCTGTCAATTTCAAAACTCCCATCTCCTAATTTGTAACTGAAAAATCCTATGTAAATATGTCACATTGCAATTGCACCCTCCTGCCTGTTGTGGCACTGCAAGTACCTCAATCTTGTATTTTAGCTCTTTTCTAGAACTCCCGTAATACATTTTGTCATGCCAATGATAAGTAGTATTGCAACGAGGTCATGTGCACAATAAGGACAAAGCGCACGACTTCAGAATGAGGAAAAGAATGGGGTCTGTACAGCAGCTGGCTCACTCACTGTATAACCTGAGCATCAGGTCAGGATTCCTTGTGTATAATGTTGTAGGACATCGGCAAATCAACCCAATGTTTTACCAGAATGGAAGGAACCTGAATAGGAACAAATACTCATCTCTTTCAAACTTTTATTTTCACTCTCTCCACCTCTTACCCAACGGCCCACATCCCCAGCTCTCCGCGTCACATTCCCTATAATTGACATCCTACCTTTGTGACATGATCTTGAAGGTGTCGGGAAGGTAACACTCCACGTTCTCCATCTGGAAGATGTCGGCATCACAGATCTTGCTGTCGGTTCGCCCATAGTTGGCACTCTCAATCATTATGACGTCGCTCCCTGGACACCGCAGCTCGATGGGGTATCCTTCGCACGCGAGCTCCCGGCGCATCAGACCAAATGGCAAGGCAGCCCGACTCAAACCTGGGGAGGGCAAAGAAACAGCGACTTGAGTCATGCTACATGGTGTTAGTCGCCACAGGAACATGTGGCTTTGGGTTAAATGGATCCCCAGGCCAAATGGTGAATCTAGGCAAAAATCCTTATTAGCAGTTAGTTTATTCAGAAAATGTAGTGTGGCCTAGGTCTGCCTCTGACCTACAACCCCATCAGTGACCCAGCAGTCCCTTTTCATAACACAGTGTGGAGCTGGAGGAACACAGCAAGGCCAGGCAGCATCAGAGGAGCTGCCTGGCCTGCCGTGTTCCTCCAGCTCCACACTGTGTTATCTCAGACTCCAGCATCGGCGGTTCTTACTACCTCTGAGTCCCTTTTCATATTTTTTTGAAGCAAATTATGAGCAGCCTCTAAAAGGGGGCTTTCTAACAAAAGTCAAACCTTCACAGGAAACTTATGAAAAATATCATTTCTGGTGCGTCAAAGTAAAAGTTGGCACAGTCCCAGAGGTTGCTCCCTTTGTTAAAGAGAGAGATGGCTGGTGCTGAGGGTCACCTCTCAGAGAGCTGAGGCTGAGAAGGGATTGACCTCAGCTGATATAGGAACTGAACCTACACTGTTGGCATTATACACGAGCCATCCAGCCAATCAAGCTAAGCTACCCTTGCCCTTGATTCACTCTAGTCCCTGTGGTGCCTACAAGTCACAGAAGACCACAAGTGTATTGGTGCACTGCCTCTCCAGAGTCACCCAGGCATGGATATAACCACAGAAGAGGGGCAGAAACCAGGTCTAATGACCCTTTCAATTGTTCACCGCCTGGATCCATGAATGTCAACCTTAACCAGGCCCTGGAACAAACCCACCAACAAGTCATTGTCCCTGCCCTCCAAACCTCATCTTTGTCCCAGGTGGCCAAAGATCCAGACCGTGGGGCTGAAGTGCAAACAAAATTCAAAATTAAAAAGTGACTTCACACATGTGGAACATAGACTCCCTGAGGATTCAGAAAAGGCAAGTTGCTTGGGAGTCTCTGAACCATTTTAATCTTTTGTTGCAAGGGACTGCTGCATGCCAAATCCCCAATGATCAGTCCCTTTTTATATGTGCTCAAGGTACTTAATCAATTCCCTCCACTTATTTATCTTAACCACACAAACAATACAGTTGATATACCATTAACAACATTATTGCTATGGATCCCAAAGTCCTCCACTATTAAGGGTTTCCTTGATTGCTAAGTGAAATTTCAGAGATGATGCAATGTTTTATTTTAGGATATTAAAGTGATTGGATAAGACAGAACAAGTTAAATAGTTTAACCTTGTTTTGAACAGTAGACCCAGAGGACATGTCACACGCCAGAAGGGACAATGTTAAAACTAATCTGCAGGGAGACGGTGATGTAGTGGGAAAGTCTCTGGATTAGATATCTAGAAGACCAGGTAAATGATTTGGGAAATGAGTTTCAATTCCACTCTGGCAGAATTTAAATTCAATTAAATGTTGAATACGAAACTGTTCTCAATAATCGCTATTATGAGAACTACCATCAGCTGTCAAAAGATCCCATCTGTTTCACTAATGTCCATCACACAAATGGTTAAAGGGAAAGGGATATTTTGTAACTATCTGAAAGATCAAAGGTGCTTTAGTGTCTCACTTGAAAGACTGGAGCTATCTCCTCTCCTTTAAGCAGCGTTACTTGAGAAAGGATGTACTGGCACTGGAGGGGGTGCAAAGGAGGTTCACTAGGTTGATTCTGGAGTTGAGGGGGTTGGCTTATGAGGAGCGAGTGAGTAGATTGGGATTAGATTCATTGGAATTCAGAAGATTGAGGGGGGATCTTATAGAAACATATAAAATTATGAAGGGAATAGATAAGATAGAAGTAGAGAGGATGTTTCCACTGGCAGGTGAAGCTAGAACAAGAGGGCATAGCCTCAAGATTAGAGGGAGCAGGTTTAGGACTGAATTGAGAAAGAACTTCTTCACCCAGAGGGTTGTTAATCTATGGAATTCCTTGCCCGGTGAAGTAGTTGACACTACTTCAGTAAACGTTTTTAAAGATAAGGTAGATATTTTTTTGAACAATAAAGGAATTAAGGGATATGGTGAGAACGCGGGTAAATGGATCTGAGTCCACGAAAAGATCAGCCATGATCTTATTGAATGGTGGAGCAGGCTCGAAGGGCCGGACGGCCTACTCCTGCTCCTATTTCTTATGTTCTTATGTCATCAACGTCACCCTTTATGTCCACCTGAGAGAGTAGATGAGGCATGGGCTTCATGTTTCATCCAAAAGACCAGAGCTCCGACAATGCTGCACTCCCTCAGCACTGCACTGGGAGTGTCAGTCTGTATATTGAGCTCAAAGCTCTGCAGTGGAATTTGAGATAACAACCTCCTAACTTGGAGATGTGGTATTGAGCATTTGGGGAACACTGGTAAAAGGAATGAAAGAATGTAAGGGAGTGTTGTCAAGGAGATATGGGTGATTGTGTTTTATAAGGGTCATTGAGGGGACAGCATTTAAAACTGTGGTCGGGACTTGTGTCCCTACCTCTGAGCCAGATGGAGTCACAGAGTCATACGGCATGGAAACAGACCCTTTGGTCCAACCAGTCCATGCTGACCATAATCCCAAACTATGCTAGTCCCACCTGCCTCCACTTGGCCCATATCCCTCCAAACATTTCTTATTCATGTACTTATTTAAATGTTGTTTAAACGTTGGAACTGTGCCCACATCCACCACTTCCTCTGGAAGTTCATTCCACACACAAATCACTCTCTGTGTAAAAAATATTGTCCTAAATGTCTTTTTAAATCTTTCTCCTTAAAAATATGCCCCCTAGTCTTGAAATCCCCTACCCTAAGGATTCGACACCTGCCATTCATCTTATCTATACCTCTCATGATTTTATAAGGTCACCTTTCAACCTCCGTACATTCCAATGAAAAAAGTCCCGGCCTATCCAGGCTCTCCTTATAACGCAAACCCTCCATTCCTCGCAACATCCTGGTGAATCTCTTCTAAACCCTCTCCAGATTAATAATATCCTTCCTATAGCAGGGCAACCAGAACTGCACACAGTACTCCAGAAGAGGCCTCACTAATGTCCTGCACAACCTCAACATAACGTCCCAGCTCATAGACTCAAAGGTCTGAGCAACGAAGGCAAGTGTGCTAAACGCCTTCTTAACCACCCTGTCTACATATGATGCATCTGATGATATGATATGTTCAGAGTTCAAGTCGCACCAGTCCCAGATGTGCATTATCTGAGCAGATTGACGAAAATAACAATAGGACAGAGGTGCAAATCATAATGTGCAAAATGAGTGGACAATACCTTTTGGATTCTTACAAAGTGTTAAGTTTTAAAATACTTACTTCTGCAAATGTAGCTTTGGCAGCAAGGAAAATGAAGGCTTATCCCACCTTCATGATTGATCCTTCAGAAAGCGAGCACTCTATATATCAAAGCAAGGCTGTACTTTCACAGGGTTAGACGATGTGTAAATGAAAAATAGGTATATTTTGGAGATCATGACAGGTTCAATCAATCAGGTAGGGAGGGGAAACATTCACAGATCTGAGATTTGAGTTCGGCCTAATGAACTGCAATGACGAACCAACATGGATTGCAGACAGGCTTCAGGCAGCCCTAGACTGATAGGGTCCTGGGCCATTTCTAAACAGGCCCCAGGCTTCAAATGTTAGCATTGCCTCAGACAAACCACTCAGTCGGGATAATCACAGATCAAAGCAAGTCTAAACTAGGTAATTAAACTTCCAGGATTGCATCAGGTTTAGGGTTTAGACCTCTCTGGGATAATGTTTCCTTCCATCGGTCTTTGCTCCCAGACTGTAAACTTCTGTAAGTTCAGGAAAGAAATCTGTACAGTTAATAACAGTTTTTTCTTTCGAAGTGTAGAGTCATTTTAAAAAAACTTTGACAAAGGGTGTGTTGGCATTTTCTTGTGCCCTTTATAAATAACTGAATTTCCAAGCAACCTTGTTGAAATAACTCCACAAAGGCCGGTGTCCCATCACCAAGTCATCTTTTACTTGCACATGGAGAGTCCTTGACAGAGATTCAGCTTCCACAGAGCCAGCTCTCAGACTGAACAGGATGTCAGCCAGGGTTCCCTGATTAGACCAGATTAACAGTCTCAATCAGGGAACTCATATTCTATGAGGAACACCTGGCTGACCTAGTTACAATCACTACATCCCGCCCCCTCTGAGTCTGAGGACATGGTCAGGTTCTGCTTTTTTGTAGCTCCTCCCAGGTCATTTTAGCACAGGGTCAGGTTCGTCCAAACCCGCCTCTGATATGGGCGGTGTGTAGTACACAGTAGCTTGCCTCTTACACCTGGAGTGTCTCAGGCGAAATATACTCTCTTCTTCAGGTGGCAAAAGTGTTGAAGTGGTACCATTCACTGCGTTCATCTCAGATTCCAAGGTATTTTCAACGCTCGACAGAGCGGGAGAATCCATTGGACAGTTCAAAAGGCTGTCGAGGAGTTGGGCACATTTTGCTCTCGCACTGTTTGTGAGTTTAGAGCTTTCATATGGCCCACATGTTTGTTCAGGACCGTTGCACCTACCCGAACTTTATAATTTACTGGACCTGACCTTGTGTCGACCATGCCTCTTACTCGTGCAGGACTATTCCCATGGTTCCTACTCCAAATTTTGTCCCCTGAAGTAAACTTTCTCTCTCGCTTAGCAGGGTCTTGTGTCTGGTATTATTATTTTTTAAAAAAGCATTCTTGTCTTGTTGGGAAACTACTGCCATTTCTCCGCATCATCATTTGATGAATGGTTTTGTTGATTTTGCATCTTTGGATTAAGTACTTGAGTCACTGATTGTGAGAAATAGCGTCAAGGGCTATTCTCCAGTCCAAGGGTTGCAGTTAGGTATGAGGTTCCTTAGAGTTCAAAATAATAATTTTTAGGCTCAATTTAAAAAAAATCAGTTCATGGGATATGGGTGTCACTGGCTGAGCCAGCATTT